TTCTTTTTCAAGGCTTCGTGGGTCGCTTAAAATTTTCATTACATATCATCCTCAACATAAGGTGAGTAATTGTAACAGAAATTACTTGTGTGACCAGTGTAGTCAGTGACAAATATGTTTTGGATTAATTTGAGAGTGACTATTGAAAAAATTGATACTACATGAAAATCATATTCAAAGAAAAATTAGTTTCAACCGGATCCTGTTGGGTAACAAATGTCGTGGGCTTCGAACATTTGATCAAGACCTCTCATAACGAAAGAATATGATTTGAAGTATCGAAAATTTGGTATTGAAACAAATTTTTCATGAAAATCTGGAACATAGTTCCCCGTCAATTCCTTGATAGTTTAGAAAAGTGGGTTTCACTTTCATCACGGTCTCATGAATCAAGATCATAAACACAGAGTTTTGATATGTCTAAGTCATGATTGGTTTGATCAATGACCTCTTGGACATACGTCATTGTGTGTGCACTATGTTAGACGTTTGAGATGAAAATTGTTTCACGAATTCAATTGTACCTTTGTTATGTTTGGTGTCACACCCCCGAACCAGACGGCGGAAACGTCCGGGGGCTGTCGTGACTCAATTGAATACCATCACAATGAATATATATGAAACATAACATCAATCATTACCAAGCATTTGAACATTACAACCGATAGAATTAACATCCATTACATTGTTACCAAAATATTACATGCCCAAAAATAAAATTGTTTGTTGTAAATTAAATACTCGCAAAACATCATAGAGTAAAATTCCTTCTTCACTTTACCTGGTACCTGAGAATACAAGTATTTTGGAAAACGTCAACATATGAAATGTTGGTGAGTTCATAAGTACTGTTTAAAACCCAATGTTTGTATTGTTTTGAAAACCACCAGAAAATCCGATATTTTCTGAAAATAATATAGCGTAAAAAAAAATATGTGAAGATCCGTGAGTATGCTTGTTTGTTTTCTATAGATGTAAGTGTACGAGTTGTAAAATTCGGCATGTAGTTCGTAAGTGTATTAGTTGAAAACCCTAGGAAAACCCGACGTTTTCCTATCACTTTGCTTTAATTAGTTTAGGTGTTGTTGTTTCGTTACGTTAGAGGTATTCGTTGAGCTCCGGAGGCATTGGGTATACAGTGGGTTGTGAATTGTTGTAATGTACGTTAATGAAAACATCCAGTTGACAACCGTACAAGCGATCCCTTAGGCGTCGCTCGCACTTATTCACATAACCCAACCCTCCCGGACTTGTGTAGCCCCACGACCGAAGGGAAAAAAAAGGAGAAGGTGCGAAACCCTCGGTATTTCCCTACGTCGTTCAAGACCATAGCGAATGCGAAGGGCCCGAAGCCCAACTCGCAATCGTGAGTTCCCGACTTTACTAGCAGTACCGAAGGACCCTTGGGGACCAGCAGCACGTTTGCCATTGAAAGTCCTTTTACACGAGGTTAAGTCGTACTCACTATATGAGTCAGGAAGTGACTGAAGAACCCAATCAACAGCCAACTCCTCACAGACAACAGATCCCAACATTCTTAATCTATCAATGTGTGACTTCATCTCTAGGGTGTGTGCACACACTGACTTTCCTTCTTCATGTTTACTTGCCAAAAGGGCTTGAGTGAGTTTGAACTTTTCAATATTTTGAACTTGTATATTAGGGAGAATAATATGAGGAGGTGGAGGAAGTGAAGCATGATCTCGTGTTCCTCGATCGAATCATGGAATATCATCTTTATGTGAAAGGCTTGTTCCACAGGATTTGGGAAGATCATAGTTGTCATATTTTGATATCTACAAAACAGGAGAAAAATCAAATTCAAGTTAGTTGATTGATTGATCATAGTCGTCATCCACATGGTGCCCCCACATGTTACAGTCACTTATTCGATGTGCCGGTTAACCACACACGCTCCACCGAACTATGACAAACATTGAGTCAGCCTTTGCTACCTTTGCTTATTACCATTTAGTGTGCCGGTTAACCACACATGCTCCACTTACGTCTTCGCAAGGGTACAAAGTGTAATTTCATGGAATTGCATCAATTCACTTTTGCCTAAAGTAACTAAGATTGGGAATTTTGTAAAAACATTTAGTTACTTTTGTACTTCATTATACTTATAATGGAAGGTTTCTGTCTTATCCTACCCGTTCGGCTAACGACCCTCCACTAGTCAAGAGTGTGGTGGGTAAGAGTGGATATCCATTCAATCGCCATTTTATAGGCAATTTCCTTAAACACCCCTTATAGACCAACTTCGTGAATGAGGCCTACTAACGGTAAGACTGACTGTTTATTCATATATATATATATATATATATATATATATATATATATATATATATATATATATATAATACTAGACTTTTAATGTTATACATAGTATAGGGTGTATTTTACACTTTTAAAAAACTAGGTGGTCAAATTTAATAATTATACTTTTAATTTAATTAAATTGTAAACCAAAACTTTATGGATTTATTTAATCTCTTTTAATTATACACTTTAATTAATTAATAAAACCATAAGGGTGTGAATTGAACTTTTCAAAAACAATACTAGGGTTTTAGAATCTAACATTTCTAAATTAAACTTTTAATCAACTTTTAAATTCCAAAACTTGAGGGCAAGTTTTGAAACATTTAAAAACATTAGGGGTTTAACTATTTAAATTTCAAAACAAAACCTTTAAGTTCAAATTTAAACCATAAAACTTACATGGGCACAAATGAAACTTTTTCACAACATAAGGATCAAATAACAAATAATAGAAATTAAACAATTAATTTTGTCATTATCTATATTTGACCTAATTTCAATTTCTTGCAAGATAAGTTACCCAATTAATACAAATAATCAATCTTTAATCATATAAGGAAGTTATTATCTAATCAATTGGTAATTATCTTGTGTTTTGGCAAGGATAATCTTTTAGAAACATTAAAAATCGTATTTTATAAGTTTAAAACGAATATGGTAATTATCCTTAAGCAAAACAGCAATAAAATCTGAAATTCCCTCTGTCTGATGCTCCAACTCGCCGACTCACACATTGGAACTCGCCGAGTAGGGCAGATTCGTTGAGTCCATGTAGTGACTCGCTGAGTCAGTTCGAACAGAAGGCCAGAATTTGATTTTCAGTTAATAATTCAACATAGCATCACATACAATAGAAACCAATCAAGGCTTTGATACCACTGATGGGTTTTGGTCATAAGAACATCATATGTGCTCATGCAAACCCTAATACTTGGATCTAGGTTTCTCTATTGTACATGCAATGTATCCAAGACTTACAATCTTAGATCTAACATATTATAAACTGAAACTAGGGTTTAGAGAATTACCTTTGATTGTTATGTAGCAATAACAATCTCAAATCCTCCTTATAATGACTTTAGAAAGATTAGAGTCACAAGTATCACTCTTCTAATGGCTCACAAACACCAAGAGCAAGAGGATGAAGAATAAGGAGAGAGAAGGCTATCCAAAACGTCCAGAAACCCTATTGGAACTCTTAGCCACGTTTTTGGGGCTTAAGGGTACTATATTTACATGTAGGCTATTAGGGTTTTCAACTAGGAAACCCTAATTTGACTGCTTAATCCCTAAGCAGCCCATGGACCCTTTTAGAATAACCCTTGGACAATTTCTAATGGGTTTCCCCCATAGAATTCGTCCAACCTTCTATTCCAAGGTAGTCCATAGCCCAAATGCAATTATCTTATAATTACAGTTGGAGTCCCTTAAGTTTAATTAATCTCTTTTAGCCACAAAATTAATTATCAATTAATTCTTGATTAATATTAATTAAACAATATGATTTCTCCTTTAATATATTATTCTCATAATATATTAATAAATCATAATTAATCTTCTCTCTCCATAATTCATCCTATCAAGTTGCTTTGGTGAAGGCAACCCAAAAGAACCATGCACCATCGGGTCAAGTACATACCAAAATAGTTATGGACTTAAAAACTAATCCAACAAAAACAATTTTCACTACTATAATTGGTCTAGGGTGGTATACTAACAAAAGTGTAAGTAAATGAGGAATGGTTTGAGTCTACGAATTTGGGTCGAGCTGGCCTTTTATGTCGAGCTCACATGATGAACTAATAGGTTGCTCAAAAAATAACCTTACAAAATTCTAAAAATACGATGTCTTAATAAAAAAAAGATGAAAGTGTAATGCTAAAAGCTGTATAGAATGTGCAAAGTACAATGCTATGCCATAACGAACCGAAAGTAGGTTGCTATAATAAACAAATGTATGAAAGTATGTTGTATTTCCTGCATTTAGCCCTCAGATCATATAATGTTACACCATCTCCTCGGATTTGTTCCTCTTGCTGCAGACAGAAGTATTAATGATTTCATCAAGAGCAACAAACAACTTCAGCCTGTTCACACCATCTCCATATTTCACAGATTAAGCAAAAATATGTAAAGATGATTTTGATATATTTCATGGTATATGAAGTTCGTTTAAAAAAAATAAAAACAATAAAGTCAAATTACAACCTTTTCCCATCTCATTTTTAATGGTGTGGATTATTTTGGTTCAACCAAACCACACTTTAAATTCGGTTTTTCATTTGGTTTCAGGCGAAACCGAATTATGAATTTAGTTTATAGTTTATCAATTATTGTGTCATCAACTTCGGACCAAAACAAACCGTATTGCCGAATTTAATTAATTAATTAATCATTTGAAGAATCTGTACTTTTATAGTTTAAAAGTTCAATAAAAAAACATGAATACATACTAAGTTTGGACGAAAGCTTGACAAGCGACTTGGAAAAAGTTTGGAATTTTGGATTTTATGATATACTGGAACTTTGTTTTTAATATTTGGGTTGGAACTTTTTTTATATTGAAAGCTCTTTTAATTTTATGAATAGAAAATTGCAACTTCGGATTTTCTTTTTTAACATTAATAAGTGGTTTCCTTGGATTTCAATCAAACCGAATTTCCGTTTTATGTTTGCACCAAAAAGAATTTCAAACCAAATAAACTTAAGAACCATAAACCGAACCATTGTACACCCCTATGCTATTTTCTTTTAAACTAAAAATCCTACCAAATATTTTCTGATCACCTAACATAAATCACAAATTCAAAAGTCGTGATTTCCACTTTTAAGTATCCTCACTCGCTTTCTTCTAGTGAGCTATAATGTATACATTACAAGTATATAAACATATATATATATATATATATATATATATATATATATATATATATATATATATATATATATATATATATATATATATATATACACTTGAACAAATATTTCATCTTTTCAAGAAATCATCAAGTCAACTTCATCAATGTTTTTCTCTATGACATCAACGCAAGACCCTACGGATTTCCCCGCTGACATGGCGTTCGCGAGATGAGTTCGTGCTCGTTCGTGGCGGCGTAAAATTAGGATGGTGTTGAGTACCGCCCATCTCACTTGAGAATCCGCCTTCTTTTGAGTGAATCCCAAGCTGTTTAACAACTTATCCACCTATAATACATAAAATGTTGTCTCAATAAATAACGTTTAAAACATATTTGATCAAAAAACAAAATTGCTATTTGAAATTCTTTTTCTTTTATAATTAACTGAATAAAATATAGAGTAAATTACACGAATGGTCCCTATGGTTTACGGTAATTTGCACGCTTGATCCCTAAATTGTTTTTTTAACTCGGAAAGTCCATACTGTTTGTTTTTGTTACGCGCTTGGTCCCTATTGTTTGTTTTTGTTACGCGTTTGGTCTCTATCTTACCTAAAAAAACTATTATTTAAATAAAGAAAAAATGTGGGGTAGGTAGGGTAAGGCGAGGGGGTTGGTTTGGGGGTTTGTTTGTCTAAATAAATTAAAAAAATCAAGGGCAAAAAAGTTTTTTTAGGTAATACAGGGACCAAACGCGTAACAAAAACAAATAATAGGGACCTTTCGAGTTAAAAAAATAAGTTAGGGGCCAAAAGTGCAAATTACCCTAAACCATAGGGATCATTTGTGTAATTTACTCTAAAATATAATTCAAGAAAGTTTACCGTGTTAACATCAGAAAGACCTCCTTCAGCATAACCATAAAGAAGGTATTCAGTTGCAACTCCTGCTAACGCTATACATGAAAACCTGTTCAACATCTGAAAACCAATAATAGCTTATTTTAAAAAAAAAAAAAAAAAAAGAATTATTTATATCCTGTTCAAATAAAAAAATTATAATTCAGAAATTGTAAAACGTAATATTTGTTGTACCTTGGCTGATACTCTCCCTGCGCTTATCTGCACATACAAATTTCCACCAATCAAAACCAATTCCACACCGGACTCTTTTAGAAAGAAACATACACAAATAAACAAAAAACACATTGCTAATTCTTGAATTTAGACCTTATTTCAACAGTTTTAATCTACAAGATTTGAATTTAGGAAGTGTGATAAGAAGAATTATATGAAAGCTTACTTCTTCAGTAAACTCAAAATCAACAAAAACAGTCCCTGCTTGAACATTGAGTGATCCTTCCCGCTGAAAAGCTTCCAAACTTGATAGTGTATAACCCTTTGGAAGTATTCCCAATAAATAAGCTATCAAGAAATGTCCAGCTTCATGCTACAAGAACAAAATCTTCAAAATGGTTATCTCCCAAAACACCAATTTGATTAAAAAAATGTGTGTGTGTGTGAGAGAGAGAGAGGAATTACTTGAATAACTCTGTTGTGATACTTTTGACTAATGTTATGGCCAATAGTATCAAGAACTAGACTGCTAAATCCTCCAGCAAAAGCCACCTATCAACAATCAATTGCATTAGGACTAATGTCAATTAAAGTAAATTTAAAATTAATATATATAGCAAGATTTTGGAATAGATACCGAATCAAGTGTCCAAAGGAAAAAGATTCCCAATGAGAAATATAAGAGCTCTTCTGGGCCTAAATCAAACAAATTCCAAGCAGAAATGAACCCTAACAAAGCAGCAATCTGTAGATTTCTTTCTATAGTACCTAGAGTGTTGTCTTTTGGGGATAAAAGAGCTGAAGTCTCTATGCCATTGAGTTTTAATTCATTTAAGCTGTATAGCCTCTGGGGTACCTGTATTAAATCTTCTTATTCAGTCATCAAGAATTCAAATCTACAAGGTGAAAAACATACTGTTACTAAAGGTTGATCTGTAAATCGATGAGTTAATTTGAAGACTGTATATGGATTTTTTTAAATTTCACGGATTTCAGGTAGGTTTTTACCTGCTGAGCAGCACCAAAGCATCTCAAACCGCCTGGTTTAGACTGCGAATCCTTAACCAGAGAGAGTGCAGCTCTGTCATCGCCTTTATTGAGCTCCTTATCCACTTGTTCCAATAACGCCCTTCTCAATTCGCCATTAACACCAGCTTCAGATGATGATGATGAGGAGGAGGAGGATGATGATGATATGCGCTTTACATTATGATTATATCTATGTCTTGAAATTGAAGTTGTTATTCCCCATAATCTCCGCTTTAAACTCCATTCTGGGGCTGTGGTGTTGAATGTGGATAACAGCAGAACGCCATTCATAACCCTAACTGAAACAATGCTCGGCTGAACTCAATCGTCACAAGATTACGTCGATGATGCTTATAAGCTTTGTAACACACAAGAAAAATGTACAACAACCAATCCTCGAGAATTTTTTAGAGAATTTCTATGGTTTTCCACTCATGAACGATTGACTGGTAGTCGTGTCGAAAATTGGACTGTGAACGCTTGGGTATTGCTTTGCGTTCTCTCACCCTGGCAGGCTTCCTGAACCACGAACCACTTTATTTCTCTAATTTTGGATATCGACTGTTTTTGAGATTAGGATAGGTTTGGTTATTGTTTTCGTTTTCAATTTTAGAAAAAATTAAATATGTTTTTTGTTAGAATAATTAAAAAGCTTGGTCAAAATTTATCTATTTATTTATTTTCTGTTTGACAAAATTAGAAAACGACTCTAAAATGGGTATTTATTATTGAATTATATGGTGGTAAGGTGGTTGTGGGCAAGATAAAATGGTGATGATTGAAAAAAAAGGTGGTGATGATGGCGACAATGTTGGTGGTGGGGCAAGGATAGACCAATCGTGATGAGGATGGTGATGGTGTTGATGGTATAGTAGTAGTTGTGGTGGATCAAGATTGCTTAATAGAGTCGGAAGAACCGAAGATGGTGATCAATAGTTCGACAATATCACAATTAATGTTATGCAAGATTTAGAAGAATTAAATGAAGATCAAAGGAAAGGCTAATGAAGTTTTCAGACTCAATAGGTCAAGACTTTGTCGAGACTATGTGATGTATTTAGTTCGAGTAATAATCATATAAAGATGTTTAGACTTAGTATTTATTAATACTGAGTGATGACTGACTTCTATCACATCATTATGGAAGTTTCATAGTGTGTTAAGTCAACTTCAACATACAAGATTAGGATGATGAATTGAGTCATTTAGTAGTAAAAGGTTAAGCAACTTACTTGTTTAAGTAAGGTAGAATACTTAGTTGAAAAAGCAATACACTCATAGTATTGTATGTGAAAAGATGTAATTAGAAATCACAGCGAACCAAGTTGAAGCTAGTAGAGCTTGTTGAGATGCAGCTATAATGCAGACTTCTGAGGATAGACTCCTATGAAGTAGACTTAAAAGAAAACACCTAAGAGAAGAAGACTTACTCATATACTGGAATGATGATGCCAAGGAAGGATAATGAAATAAACAAATGTGCATTGTGAATTATATGAGTTAGGAGATGATCCAGGTAGTTGGAAACCATTTGTCTTCACACTGTAAGAGTAAATTTTGGTATTGCATGTCTAGTAGAGTAGACACTACCCGAGAAAGAAATTATATGAAGATTTGGAAGTAAAATCTATATTGATCTAGGAAAAGTATTAGAATATGCTAGATTGAGCATATGCATGAGAAGAATCCTAGAAGGTGAATACAGGAAATCCAAGATATGTTTGATAGAAACGTGAAATCCTTAAATGAGTCTAAAAGAAATTGTTGTGTGTACTTGTTTGAACAGAATCATGTGTGATAAATTTCTTTGTGATTTTGAATGGTAACTTGGAAAACTGTGAGACAATACTTGGGACGAGTATGAGTATGTGTGAATGGTAGTAGAGGCCTATACTACTGGAAGCACAGGTGTAACGACCAAAAATTTCAACAAAATTTAAACTTTTCAAAAGCATCCCAATTCATTAAGTTATTACAAAAAGGTTTTCAATGCATTTATTATCAGAGTATTCTCAGGTCCATTTCATAAAACATAAACACGAGGAGCGGTACGATCACGCATTTGCCTTGCCACGGTTTCCTGAAGAACCTGAAAAATATTAAACCACAACTGTAAGCCCGAAAGCTTAGTGAGATACCCCCAAAATACCAACCACATATACCATACACATAACATGCTATATCATATCGAATCACAGAACAGTCATGCATATCGGGTCTACTGTGAGACTAGTCCACCGTGTCGGGCCTTCAGTTCACCTGGTCCACCCTCCGAGTCCAGTCATGTCCTTCGGGTCTGCAGTGTGGTTGGTCCGCCCGCATCGGGCCTTCAACCCACCTGGTCCACTATCTGAGTCAACAGTATGACTGGTCCGCCCACATCGGGCCTACAGTCGGCCTGGTCCACTCTCCGAGCCTTGGTACGTCTGGTCCGCCCTCGTGGGGCCTACAGCCTATCCGGACCTCTCGTTGGGCCTTCGGAACAACCGGTCCGCCCTGGGTATCTTGGCGTACAGCACGAAGTATGACCCGCCTCAACCCAACTCCAGTCCAAACAACCATGTGCACATAAACATACAGTCACGTAACAATTCATATTCAGTCAAACCGATCTAGCAGATCACGCAACACAGCATACTCTGAACAGGATACCGACCTAACCGGTCACTAGTATAGCATCATCCTATATACCAAGATACCGACCTTAACCAGGTCTCTAACGAATACCATCTGTTGAAAAATGTTCTTATGTAACCTTGTATGTGACCATAACTGAAATAAGATGAACTCTTTTTATACAATCTAACAAATATTATCAGTTATTTCAGGTTGCATGAATGCGTGATAAAACGGAAAATACGAAAACACGCGAATGACGAAAACACATATGTGTGACTAAACAGATTCAACAATATATATATATATATATATATATATATATATATATATATATATATATATTATATACATATGTATGTATTATATATGTATATATGTATTATATATATGTTGTATATGTGTTGAATAGTCAAACAAAGAAGAAGTCAACAAAGTCAAGGAAATAAGAAGCCAAATGAAGACCCACGTTTTTTGCCTCCTACTCTACATCAACTTGCATGACCAGCCATACTCTATCACTTAAACTCAAGTACACTAGATGAAGATATTTGTTTCAATGTATATATGTATACGTGAGTTTGTGTGTGAGTGTGTGTGTTCATTTGTAATATTGTAACACTTCCTACAAACTACAAACACTCCCAAGAACATCACAAATCTTCATCTTCTTCAAGAACAAAGACAAATCCCTGGAGCTAAATGAAGAACACCAAGATCAAACAAGAAGCTAAGTGAAGAACACCAAGATCATCAACAATGAAATGAAGAACACCATCAACCATCTTCATCTTCTTCATTGAAACTAAAGGTTTTTCATCTTCACCACCTTTGATCATCACATCATACACCACCAAACACTTTCCTTACATCAAAACACCAAAACACAACCATGAAACAACCCAAAACCTTCTGCATCAAGATCAACCACAAAACCCATCACTATTCATCATCATCTTCATAGAAATTTCACCACCTTTACCACCTTATATTAACCTCCTTCCAACCTCTAAACAACCTTGAAAACATCCTCAAAACACCATAACACCATTACCCTAGCCAAAACATCACAAACAAAACTTACCTTTAAATCACAAAAATCCCGAAATTGACTCTGACACGAACACGCCCCGTGTTTCCCTCTGATTGCCTTCTTCATACTTCTGAACCTCAACACGCCCCGTGTTCAGCAAGGCTAAATCAACATGCCCCGTGTCAGCATTAGCATCATGAACACGCCCCGTGTTCAGCAAGGCTAAATCAACACGCCCTGTGTCAGCATCAATCATCAAGAAAACCCTCCTACATGACCCGTGTCACTTGTGCCTTATCTTACATGACCCGTGTGCATGTTTTTACCCAAAAATACCTTAAATACAAATACATAAACCCATGTATTTTGTACCCTTTTGTAAACACTTGTTTTACATAAAATCGAGCTTTAAATTAACTTTTTGTTACTTATCCAATGCCGGATTGATCTTTGAACAAATATCGACCAGTCGCTCCAAGAGTCCCAATATCGACCAGTCCATTCAAAGAACAAATATCGACCAGTCGCTCCATGAGTCCAGTTCAGTCAATTTATTGACGAACCTACTTGATATATATCTATATATTTATATACTTTATTATAGCTTTATGTCATTTAAATACAGTCATTTATATTATTATAGCTTTCAGTCATTTATAGCTTTCATATTTATACTTATTCCGCAATTATTATTCTTTTATATATATATATATATATATATATATATATATATATATATATATATATATATATATATATATATATATATTTATATCTTAAACTGATATATCTATCACACAGTAACTGGTAACCGAGCCTTTTGTTGTGGTGATCAGATTGTTATATTTCCAACAAATCGGTATCTGAGCTAATATATAAAAGGAATAATATCCAACAATTGGTATCATAGCTTGTGTGATTTACCTTGAAATTTTTGTCGAAAAACTTTTGGTTATAGCGTTTATAAACCTTCCATAAGCTTTTCTTTAAAAATTTCATTTTAATATCACTTGTTCAAAATCCTTTCAAAAAAAATGTCTTTGGCAAATTACTCCAACATGAACTCTGTTTCCATTGCAAATAGCTTAGGATCTGGTTCACGGGCACCCATACTTATTCCTGAAGAGTATAATTCGTGGGTTGGCCGTATGAATCTTCATCTTAATGCTATAAATGAAGATGTCTGGAAGTGTGTAGAAGGAACATATGTTACTCCAGAAAATATGGCTACTCGTGCTACAAATCAAGCCACTCAAGCTGAAATCACAAAAAAGTTGGAACTCCAAGCCAAAAAGGAACTTGTTTCTGGAATACCTCACATTATTCTAAGTCAAATGGATGACATTATACTGTTAACCGCAAATCAAATTTAGGAGAATTTGAAAAATTGTTTTTGTGGAAATAAAAGAATTATCGGAAACAAAAGAACATCTGTTTTGAATGAATTCGATAATTTCAAAATGCTTTCGTCAGAAACCATTCATGATGCTTATGATAGGTTCAATTTGATTATGGTTAAAATGAACAATTTGGGTATAAAAAAGACACAACACAAGATAAATCTCAAGTTTTTAAACAATCTTTTCGAAAGCTGGAAAATGGTTAAACTCATTATCCAGGGAAATCCAGCTATTCATACTGA